ACTCCACGGGTTCTGGCTGAATCTGAACTGGAAGGATGGTTTGGATTGTGGATTTCATTTTGGGGCTCATTGCTTTCTACTAGATGACTCCTGATGGAAGCAAGTTTCGAGAAGACGACTGGACCAGATGAGATTTTATTTATTTTTTCCCGTCAAACATAATGAGTAAGGGTTGGAGGGCGTTGGGAGACTTTATATTACATGTCATCTCTAGTGTAAACAATTTATGTAGGGAATGTTTGGACGTTGGATGTGCCTTGTAGGAATTACTCCATTGCAATATTTATATCATTTTGTCACATAGAAGTTTGGGGAGCAGGGATACAATTTAGTTAGTGTTGTAGAGAAGTACGATTGTCACTTGTCATAATGTAAGAGATTGAATTGAGTCTAAATTTAGTAAATGAAATTCACATTCTTGGTGCTATTTTGTGCACCTATTTTTGCCATGGCTTGCTCTCTGATGCTCACATGCACTTTGGAGTTAAGTTCAGTTTATATTTAGCAACGGTAAGTTAAACGTAGGGACCGTTAGGGAACGTAGTTAGTTGTCGAAGTGTGTGCTGACACAGGGAGCAAAATCCTGGCCATCAAAAAGATTGTTTTTGTATATTCACAAGGCACACCAAAAACGGTTAGCTAGTCCGCGATCTTTAAGACTAGCACTTGTGATTGCATTGTTTACAGGACAAGTCAGCCCGCCCAGCTGAGATGCCAGAGGTAAGCCATGTTGGGACTGCATGCTTTACTAACATTTGCTTTTTCTCCCTTACCAAATTTGGGGGGACCTAAAAATTCGTGCAGCACACACACTTAGGGCCAACCCATAACTAACCTGTCTTTTTCCTCCGGCAACTTATGCCATTTTACGTTTTTGTCCCATTCTGGGAAGGGAAACTGGGGTCCTACCGGAAAAGGGCGTTTTTTTATGTTGTTCTTTAGTTTGACATTGTAGACAGATCCTGAGGTTCATCGTTGGAGGCAGATTGTGTCTTACCATCCAACCCCATTCTTCATACGAGGAAGGAAGCAAGCTTCGACGAAGACTTCAAGACCAGATGAGATTTTTCTTTCTTTCCGTCAAATCTAACGAGTAACGTTAGGGGGGCGTTGAAAGGCAGACTTTATACTACATACCTTGTCAGGTGTGAACAGTTCAGTAGTTTGGCATCGAGAAGCATTTTATTTTTACATTGTAGACAGATCCTGATGCTCATCGTTGGAAGCAGATAAGCCAAGAAGAAGACGATCGCGACCTTCACCATCCAGTCACTGCATTTACGTTCTTCCCTATCCTGGAGGAGGTTGGATGTGCAGGGTTGATGGCGTTTCAGCACGAAGCAAGTCTGCTTCGGCGCCAGCTGAGTTAACAAAATAGGTAGGTTGGAAGGGAGGCAGCGTAGATAACAAGTGTATTGCAGGTGTATCAATTTTCATGTTCTACATTGCTGGATATTTCTCCCACCGCAAACATCTGTATCTAAGTCTTTCCTTTTGCACACAGGGCGCCCCCTGAAGGCAGAAGATGGCACTGCAGCACTCCACGGGTTCTGGCTGAATCTGAACTGGAAGGATGGTTTGGATTGTGGATTGAATTTTGGGGCTCATTGCTTTCTACCAGATGACTCCTTAAGGAAGCAAGCTTCACGAAGACGACTAGACCAGATGAGATTTGTCTCTATTTTATCCCTCGTCAAATGTAAAGAATCAGGAGAAAAGAGTTTGGATTTGCATTGGCATATTTAGTTAAGAGCATTTGCGCTTTTTTTCATTTTGGATTTGCATTTGCAGATTTTGACCTTCATCTTGGCATTTGAGATTTGCATTTGCGGATTTTGACCATTTTCCCATTTGGATTTGCATTTGCGTACTTGGACCAGCATTTGCGGATTTTGACCTTCATTTTTGCCATTTTGGATTTGCATTTAGGGATTTTGACCTTCATTTTTCCCATTTGTGATTTGCATTTGCGGATTTTGACCATTTTCCCATTTGGATTTTCATTTGCGTACTTGGACCAGCATTTGCGGATTTTGACCTTCATTTTTGCCATTTTGGATTTGCATTTAGGGATTTTGACCTTCATTTTTCCCATTTGTGTTTGCATTTGCGGATTTTGACCATTTTCCCATTTGGATTTGCATTTGCGACCTTGGACCAGCATTTGCGTATTTTGACCTTCATTTTGGATTTTCAGTTGCGTATTTTGAGCTGCATTTCCGGATTTCCTTTGACATTTGCGTATTTGGATCTGCTTCTTTACACCTCATTTTGAACGGATGCAAGTCGTGTTTGGATTCTTTCGTGCCAGCTTTTTGAAACTGCTCTTTCCGGGAATCGTCTGAACCGGAAGAACGGCCAGCTAGGTGAGTTGTTACTTTCTTTACTTATCCAGACATCCAGAAACAAGGTGTAAGGGTGTAAATGACACTAACATTGTAATTTGTCTCCTTTTCAGCAGAGTCCACTGGTTAATGTTGCTCAATGGACCGTGAGGAAAGTCAAATAGGAGGACAAAAGAAACTGTCTTAAACTGATATCCTTTCTCTTGTAGCCTGAAATATTCCAGCCAGGCCCTTTGCTTGGACATGGACTAATTCTAATTGGCACTCAGCTTTGGTAACCTTGACGCTCATCCTGACATGCCCACCAACAGCTTTTGCACGTTACGTTGAATTTTCAGGCCTTGTGTGCACTTGGCTCAAAATCCATATTACATGTAAAAAAAGCAGTTGCAACACAATTCAGTGTTATAAGTAAGAAATATAAAATTGTCCTTTTCTTGAAATAGGAAGTCGGTCAAAACCTGAACTGCTTTAGTTCCCAAATTGTTTGTGAGCCAAGTGATACTCGAGACTTGAAACATTCCTGTTCGGTTGGTTCTTGTGTGCATGGAGGAGGTTGGTGGTTGTGAGCACGATGACGTCCCAAATTTCCTCAGCAATGGAGGTACACCTTGACGTGGTGCTGGGGCTTTTGCTAAGATGCCTCCCACAAAATCAAGTAAAGGTAACACGTTAAGCTGTGGTCTACTACAAAGGAGGGGACGGTCTTGCAAGGATTGGACCTCCTAGCTCTTTGCTGTGGCCCTGCAGTGTTGTTCGGTTTTAGTCTGTTTCCGGCTAATGATCCCAAGAACCACTATAGGGGATCTTTGCTATACGTGGATAGTCGCTGTGATCCTTTGTTTTAGCAGGCTGTTGTAGATCTACTGTGCGTTTTGAAAATATCTAAATCCATTTTGTTGTAATTTGCAGTGTTGTAATCCTATTGGATGGGTCACTAAATTCCGATTAGAATCGCACAGAAAGATAGGCGTGCCTATATCTGGTCAGCCTACTCCCGAACTTAAGCCAACCTTGGTCGACTGATGTTCGGTTCTGAACGTGTGACAGGGGCTATAGACAGTGTGCCTAATGTGTGTATGCAGGATACTCAATGCTAATATTTGTGTGGATTAGTTTTGGGAATACGCAACATACAATGCAGTATACGGTAGCCTCAGGCCGACCTGTTCTTAATTAGTACCTTAGAGACTGATTTTAAGAAGTTACCATAGCGTCTCAGAGCATCAAGACAGCATGGACCCTCTGAAGATGTGAGAGAGTGCACGGCCCCGGGGCGTGACGGTATCAGCAGCAAGCCAATTTTCCGCTATCTTTCGGAGATACGATCAGACGACTCCGGCCTTTTTATGAGACATAAAAGTCTTCTCCGAACGGACGGCACCCTTCATCGCCTAACATTGACTCCAGGGCTGATCCGTATCTGCTGTCTGTCAATATTCTGCCAGGTTTACCGTCGACGTTTTAAAGACGAAATGTGCATGGATATCAACTTCGAAGTTCGAACCGTCACAGCATAGAGAACTGTATCATTATTATACGAAAGGAAAATGAATAAAAACAACAAAAAAGAATTGACGATCAATGTAGGATTTGAGTATATATATCTTTTCTTTTTTTTTTCTCTTATTTCTCAAGACATAAGTGGAGGATAGTTACAGCTTTTCCGATTGATGCCAGCGACATCTTGTGGTCTTAAACGGTATTGCAATAGAGGGATACTGTGAAAACACTTGTGCCTACCCGTAGTAAGTAAACCCACTATTTTTGGTGACGCCTTTGGGGCGGAGGCATTTGTGTAAGTACTACGATCCCTTTGAAAGAATTTCAAAAATTGCACGAATGCGTTCCCCAGGGAATTGGTTTGGAGGAAACCTTCGGCCATGTGGTTTTTGGATCAAGCAGGTAACTTACACGGGGTGCCCACGTGCCACCCATCCAGATGCCTGGCATGATTGATTACTGGTCATCAGTCTTCTCCCCACACCATGGTCAGAGAGCACAGCTGTCTTTGGCCAAAGACCATATTCAAACAGGTCACAGAGAGAAAAGAAATTATCTGTCCTTTTGGAACCCACAAAAGGTAAAAAAAGTCAAAGGAGTAACAACTTCAGACCAGACATAAAATCCAGTCTCTGGTGAAGGATAGAGTGAAGTGGAGGATGGTTTTCAGTTTGGTTCTAGCGGGAACTCGACCAAAGTAAAGTAAGTAAGTATGTCATCATAAAATCTATATTACTAGGGAAGAACGGCTGATTCCTCCTATACGTGTATTTGGTATATTGCCCCACACTTCCTCCACCCAGCCTGTAAATTTCACTACGTGCATGTCTTTATAACATAGGGAAATATATTTTTCTGATAATTGTAATGTAGCTTGCTAGCTCCACCACATGAAATAATATATATCATTCAGTCGTCGCCTTGGCAATGATTTTTATTGCCTCAGCCTTGTAGCTTATGATTACACTGCAATCTACGTCCTCCTTAATTCACGAATTTAGAAATCGCGAATTAAACATCATGACATACGTGCTGTCCTTAAAAGCATAATACCTGATCATGATGCTCGGACTGTAACTTCAATGCACATGGAAATCATTTTGTCTCATCTCCTACTAAACTTACTACCTCCTCTAACTTTCGAACCACATCATGCGTGGAGCGTCCTGTGCCAATGGTTCCAGGAGTGGCGCCGGTTCGACCGACTGCGCCTCGACATTTCAGCAGCCTGGATTAGCTTGGAGGGTGGGGCGTTGAGATAAGGCTCGTTCTCCTGCCTCTACCGTTGATAACTGCCCCATCTACAAATCCCACTGCTGTATTTTCCGTGCGGGAGCGACCTTA